AAAAAAAAAAAAAAAAAAACTCTATAACCCGAGCGCTTTCAAAAGGTGGACCTTTCTTCTTCAGGGACAAGAAGAAGAAGAAAGATCCACTTTTCGAAAGCGCTCGGGTTATAGAGTTTTTTTTGTTTTCATTTCTGTTAAGACTTTTTGAACCTACGTGTTTTTCTAACATCATAAATTTAATATTAGGAGTAGATAGTGGAGATAGCCCTTGTGCAACTACATGTGAAAAAACAAACAAAAAACAAAACTGAAAGAGTAGCACTTAACTTACTTGATTGCTATGGGATGCTTTACAGCCAGAGAAGGTAGCCATGTTGACATATATCAACTAAAATGAGCTAATACGGTATGTGTTACCTAGCATGTTTAATTTAGCACAGTTGTTGCATGCGGTAGTATATGATGATGATTTACATGCAAAATCATAGCTCATATACTCTTTTCAATGAACACCTTCGTATTCTCGTCTAAACACATCTCTATATTTAATAGTTTTTGTTGTTTATATATTAGAGAAATGTTAGCACCATTAGTGTTGGAACCATCGATTTTGTGCATCATATTTGGAATGCCACCACGAGCTAGAACCACGATTGCTTCCTAGTAACATAAACAATGTATTTTAACAACTGTACTAGCTGTAGTTTAGATCAGGTTCTCTTCTTGTAAGGAAAAACACTTTATTATTTAATAGTAAAATAATCAATGTGAATACATAATGATACTAGTATCGATACGGATAGAAAGGATACTTAGTTTAGTTAATAAGTAAGTCAAAGCGAACCAACATTGACCAGAACCAATTCCTGTAACAAAGAACAATACGTAACACTTCATACATTTGTGTTTGACTATTCTCTCGTTAACCCATTCCTACCTGTTCATTAGTTGTTTCATTATTTCTAACGGTTTTCAGGTTTAAGTTGTTGGGAAATAATGCTTTTTTGCATCATTAAAAGTAGAAAATGAGACTGGAAGTTAGTTAAGAATAAATATTTAATTAAAACTGTTCATGTTAACTTTCAGTATATTTTGTCAAGAACAAAAAAGAGGAGGAGAAGGTTGACATTTATAAACAACCTCAATATATAGTATTAAAATGTTTACGTGTAAACTCCATGAGATTTAACTTTTCCGATCTGTTTCATTCTAATATAGAATGAGTATTTTTAAGTTACCTTTATAACTCTGCGATAAGTTGGTGAAGAAAACTTTTCATCACAATGAACTTTGGTTCATGTTAAGCGATAGTTATTGGAGAACTTATCTAGGCGAAAGTAGTCATTTGATGGTTTTGTTTACGGAAAACCTAATTTTCAAATTCATTTTTGGTGTGTTTTGAACTTGAGGTTTACAGTAACTTCCGAGGGTCTCTTATATCAAAGATTGTTTCTTCGAGTTTACATGGGATATCTCAGGTGGTGGGTACAGTTCAGATAGCCCATTGTATAGCTTTGTGCTTAACAAACAAAACAATAAGAAAACATCTTTAAAATGCGAAAAATTAAGCTCTTCTAGATCTAAATAGTTCTAAATAAGACAGACAATCATGCTACAATAAAGTTTACTAGAAATGGTTATATATATAATATATAGACACACACACACACATACGTTTACATATGATAAGGACCAGGAACGTCGAGAGCCAGCCCAAGCCCCGGGGTCAGTAATATTATCGGGCCCCCCTTTAATTCTATCCATTAACTTTTGCTGGTTTTTCATAAAAGGAATTTAGGTAACAAATTCTTTCATGAATCCATCAAAAATCAGTAGCCATTTAGCTCAGTATGTAGTATGCATTTATAGTGAGCTTTCGAATATCCTACTGCCGGGCTCCGGAGCAGCTGCCCTCTTGTCAGCCCTGGTAATGATGCAGGAGTTTTAACGTGGAAGTGGGGACAGAATTTTAAAATCCTGCCTAGGGCGGCAAAATACTTAAAGCAGACTTTGTGCTAACCTGTAAAAGAAGTTTGGAATAATCATTTTGAAGATGTCTCTGATTTCTTCTTCGACTTCTTTTGATCCTTTGTTTTTGTTTTGAGCATCTGATGTATAATTATGCCTTAGTGTTCTACTTTTGAATTATATGGTTTTGTTTGCAAGTCTTACGTTTCCAAGTAAGTTTTCAGTTTTACTTATTTTGGTTTCCTTTTATTTTTCGTTTGTGTAACTCTTGTTCGCTTTCATATTTCATTTATCAAAAATTTCGCTCTTGTCTTTGTCATTTTACGTTTCTCTTCAAAATATTGAAAACAAGCACAGAGCTTGGTTTACTGTCTATCTATGTCATAGGATTTTTAACTATATTCTATTACATTTTATCTAGACAAGAAAGACAACTCATTCAACGTCCACTATTATTACAAACGTATTTATAATATTTAGAGTTATGAGTAACATAACTATTGTGGATTAAATGATAAACATCCTCAGATTACGACACTGACACTGTGAATTAACATCACGTCCAGACTCACCTATATCTATATCTCCTGGCTTGCATTGCCAGGGAAACAAACATCTTCAGAAACAACACACGAGTGATGTTAATAAAAAATACGAAGTTCACCTGAAACAAACGAGCAAAACTCACAATGAAAACCAAACTCTCGAAAAATAGTTTACAGCTATAAAGGTTTTAGCTCTGAAATCTTTAGTATATAACTGAAAGTATTCATTAGTATACAGCATTTAAATTAGTAACGCTCTCAAAAAAAGAAAAGTAAAAGTTAACCATAGAGTAACAAGGTTAAAATTTACTACAATTGACGCTATGATTAATGTAAGGATAATCTATGAAAAAAATAATGACAGAAGCCCAACAATAAATCCGCGAGTTGTGTGACTTAATGAACAAGACGTACTTATTCCACTAATAGGCCAGTAGAAACTAACGTTAGTATTGCCAAACCCGGATATTTAGTATAAAAATAAGCTTTGTTCTAAATTTAATCCTCACTTTGTGATAAGTCAGTAAACTCCATGTATCTAAATTCAACCCTACGAACCTGGGTTTACCACGCAGACGCATTTAAAGTATGTTTTTTAAAATAATTTCAATGCATATTTAATGTTTACAAGTTTCTGTATACAAGCCTTAGAAATCAACATTTTATAACATATAAATTATAAAAACAACATTAGTCAAATAAATATATCTATTAATGAAAAAATAGTAATTAGACTTACGTAGAATTATATGTATACACATGGTTGAGTGTGATTTTGAATATGCGAATCAGAAAGTCGCGTGACAATCACACCCGCGGTGAAACGTTACGTATCAGAACTATATTTTGACATTGTTTGGCATTTCATGTGCAGAGTGATACCACCGAAAATTAATCGCTTTTGTGAAAAGTATGTGACAGCTCTTTTCGACCTAAGATGTTCACACACTCAGATAATCATATATTTATATCGTGGATTTAGAATATGATTTAGGATATGATTGTGTACCTAATAACATTAGAAAACAAAGAAATATTGATCAACTTGAGGCATTAAGACGATCTAGAAAGAATCTTCCAACAAGTGAGTATCCTCGAACAGTGATAAATGCCATCTCATGCATTAGGCACAGTACGTAACATAATCGAGAATGATCTTCGTTTGGAATCGAGGCCAACAGGGTAAGAATTCTCAAAAATAAAACTTCCAGTGATATCATCAGTCAACAGTCCCAAACTTGTCATCAGTCAACAGTCCCAAACTTGTCTCGAGCAGCTGGAGAATGAAAAGGGTATTCTTGCTATTCTATATGAAGACACACCGATCAAGTCGCCGGACTCAGCGTTTACGTCATCAGTCAACTGTCCCAAACTTGTCTCGAGCAGCTGGAGAATGAAAAGGGTATTCTTGCTATTCTATATGAAGACACACCGATCAAGTCGCCGGACTCAGCGTTTACGGATTTCTTCGCGATCGGACTGTCGAAAGTGGGGCTGGGTAACTGTCGTTTTCGTACATTAGATGAATTATGGATGGTACACATCGAGGAATGGCGTGTTTTGGGAATGACAGCCTTTTGCAACGGACACTACGCAGCAAGGCTATTTTCAAGATGCACGGTCGACAGATAGAGCATGACCAGACGTGGAGACATGGTGGGGCCCTAAAATCGTTTTAATATAACGTATTCAACCTCTGTATAACAATACTGTGCTTTTCTTGAAAGGCTGTTGACCATTCTTTTAAAAACTGAGCAGAGATAGGTGGAAAACCCCAGATTAGATAGATGATCATCTCCATCACTATTGAAATATGCAATTGCTAATACGTACGTTTCTTTTTTTTTTCAGAAATGAATCGCAACAAAATGGACCGTTGTGTTATTTGTTAAACAGGTGAGGTGTGATTGAAAAAGCTATAGTTAATATTATGTAACAAATACATACAAAAGGTCAATCTAGCAATGACCTCAGGTTATTCAAGTTTTGTGTACAGATTGCATTGTCTCATAGTAAACAAAGTAAGCATGAGACAGCAGTTGTGTCAACTGGTTTTGTTACAAGAACAAGACATATGCCATGTATGATACAATATTTTTATTGTGCTACATTCCACATAACTGTGCGATTTAATACCGTAATTAATAATAATAAATGAGATGCCTATTATCCCAAATGGGGAATTACATGTAAATATATTCTTGGCAATAATTAAAGGCTCCCGAGAACAGAATTTTTTATTAAGGTATTTGTCTATAGATCATCTTAAAACAAAAACTTACTTATTTTACTAAATAATCAGTTTCTAGAAATTTTATACTGGCCTTAAAATACGAAATATATTTGTTCATATTGAATACTTTTAATTAGCTAAGGACTAGCTTTGAGCTCTCAACAACAGACGAATTAGTTGCATGGTTATAACTAAAAAAAAATGGTTTCTTTAAGTGACCAATCAACAAAGTTTTTGGATTCAAAGAAGAAGTCCAACTTACAATAATTGAAACTGTGATTGGTGCTCTGATAATCCAAAAATAATCAGGATTTTCATTTGTAGTCCAACATCTAAAAATCATAGAAAACAAAAGAATTGACTTTAGAAAAAATTCATGAATTAATGTTCTTAAAACGTGATGTATAAAAGCTAATATATTCTTGGAAGCCTTGTAATAATTTGAAATTAATTCGGTTTATTATACCAGCCTTATCAGCAAGTACCTGATGGTTACTCAACTATCTAACGTGTCGATAAAACAAAGCTTTATTTCGTATCATGAAGCACACAACGTAGCTGTAATTGTTGCATCGGTAACTAACAAATGAATGAGAAAACATATTTGATATTAAAACTTCATTTGGTGTGGATCTATCGGAGGAAATTCACGTAACAGAGTTAATCTTTCGGCCGAAATTGATACCTTTTATAACTGAAAAACATTTCACCTGAAAAAAAAACTTCGAGTATTCGTTTGCACCTTGTGTTATTAACCTGTAACTGCACCAGAAGTATTCAATCATTCAAAATGAACACTTAATTGTAACGATTTGTTTGTTTGTTTGTTTTTGAATTTCGCGCAAAGCTACACGAGGGCTATCTGCGCTAGCCGTCCCTAATTTAGCAGTGTAAAACTAGAGGTAAGGCAGCTAGTCATCACCACCCACCGCCAACTCTTGAGCTACTCTTTTACCAACGAATAGTGGGATTGACCGTCACATTATAACGCCCCCACGGCTGAAAGGGCGAGCATGTTTGGTGGGACGGGGATTCGAACCCGCGACCCTCAGATTGCGAGTCGAGTGCCCTAACCACCTGGCCATGAGAATTGTTTTACAAATATATAGGTATAAACATTTAAAGTTTTATATTATTTTTGAATTTACAACTCTCCAAGTGCCTCGTTTCCTATTTTAATTTATGCATACTCGTAAACAAACATAATCTTCCTAAAGGTATACTGATCAAAGTGTATTTATATGCTGATTGTTTAAAGGGTTGCCATGCTTGGTTATTTATTTATGCAGATAAACTATTAGTTTTGATATTAGAATATTTTGCTTAGTTTATACAAGTAATATTAGCATATGGTTTGAAATTAGAAAATATCCACTTATAATGCATATTATTTTGTCCATTATTTTTAAAAAAAGACTGTGTGGAATATTGACTTGCTGAGTTCTTTCTAGAATATTTTAATTTTTTTTTAGGAATTTACTACAATGTTGACTGCGGTAGCTTCAACATGAAAAACAAAAACAAACAACTGATAGTATAACTACATTTTCCATTTATTTAAATAATAACTTTGGATTCAAAAATGTTATTGCCCCCAGAGCTACTTCATTTCAGATTTTAGATGTATAATGGAACACATTAAGCTTGAAACTGGTTTTTGTATGCTTTCAACATTTACAAATTAGCGAACATTAGTACGGAAGCAAAATGTTAATGAAAGACGGTTGTGACATTTTTATGTTTATACTCAAACAGAAAATAACAAGGTGAAGTAATATCCCTGAGAAAAAGTCTATTGAACTAGGGAAGAGTAAGTAATGATTATGTTTCTTCAAGTACTTTAATCTGGAGAAGTTCGGAAAATTCACTTTGACAACCCAATAAGCTCGTTTTATACAGTTTAATTTTCTCTTTCAAAGGACATGGAATATTGTGATAGATTTTTTGCTGTTGAAAGAAACACTTCAGCCCGAATGAAGTTTCGTACCCATGTCAGAGCCCTGGCATAATAAAATGACCAATACAACACAAGATCAAAACTGAGCAGAAACTGACTCATTAGTATAATTCCGATAGGATTTATGTCGAGTAGAGTTATGTATATCACGGACGTGAAAGTATTGTGGGTATTTCGGTTAATACTACTGGTTTTAGAAGTACTTATATTCATATGTCTGGGCACTGTAGTTGGGTTAATCCAAAGTGGTAGTTCAGGTTTGGATATTCAAGTTATATAATTTGTAATTTCGGCGCCAATAAAGGATAATAGGTTTGTTTGTTTGTTTGAACTTCGCGCAAAGCTACAGGAGAGCTATCTGCAGTGAAAAACTAGTCATCACTATCCACCACCAACTCTTGGGCTACTCTTTTACCAACGAATAGTGGCATTGACCGTCACTTTTAACGCCCCCACGGCTGAAAGGGCGAGCATGTTTGGTGGGACGGGGATTCGAACCCGCGACCCTCAAATTGCGAGTCAAGCGCCCTAACTACCTGGACATGCCGGGCCATGGATAATAAAGAGAAAGTAAACGAATATTGTCAGTAAATAAATCAAAACAAGTAATTAAGAGAGTAACTTTTTTTTCTAGCATTTCATGGTACAGGTGTAATATATAGCGTATAATAAATTGGATTATATGTATAATATATTGTTTCCTTCTCAGCAGATTCACCACTTATTTTTAGACAGAAGTGAAATTTAGTAACTAAATCAGCCAAAACTGAAATTATCACTGTTTTAACAAACTAATTTAAGTCAAGTAAGCGCGTGAGTTTATGTTAGCAATAAGCGAACGGTCCCCCGAAGTTCAATGATAAGTTTCGGACTTTCAAAGCTAAATTCGAGAATTCGATTCTCCTTGATGTACAGAATACAAATAGTCCATTGTGTAACTTTGTGCTGAAAAGCAACAACAAGTCCTTAAAATTATGCATACTTTTTCAAGATGTTGATAATAACACTTACAATTTATCATAATTTTTCAAGATGTTGATAATAACACTTACAATTTATCATAATTTTTCAAGATGTTGACAATAACACTTACAATTTATCATAATTTTCCAAGATGTTGATAATAACACTTACAATTTATCATAATTTTTCAAGATGTTGATAATAACACTTACAATTTATCATAATTTTTAAAGATGTTGATAATAACACTTACAATTTATCATAATTTTTCAAGATGTTGATAATAACACTTACAATTTATCTTCCAACAGTGCACGTACAATAATCCACGGAACGATAAACAGAACAGGGAGACCTGTAAAAAAAAAAGTAGGATAAAACATATATAAATATAACATGTCACCAAAAATAAGTTGTTTTTGTTTTCCACCTTCCATGATGCTATAAAATATTTTAAAATCTTAAACTATATGTATATATACATATTTACATCAAAAACTCGATTTATATATATATGACGTATTTTATATTTCAATATTTCACGCGCAAAATTCTTAATACGAGCACGTTTTGTTTTAATACTGTAATTAATATCTTTTGTGGAAGGATTTAGAAATCGAACTGTTACAGCCACCTATAGTGACAAATATATATATCGATAGGACCATGGGAAAAATGAAGTTCACACTTAAAAATACGCACAGCATTTCCTTCGGTGTTTTTCAGTCTTTCACTGATTGCTAATGACATTAAGTATAGTTAGTTTATTATAATATATGTTTTTTCATGAATTATTTTGATTATTTCCTTTTCTATGTATTATTATACAGACACACACACACATATATATATAATCAAAACTAATACAAGTATCATCTGTGGATACAAAGAAAAAATAAAATATTTTATCTCTTTTTTTTTCTCTCTGTTAGTTTCTATCGGTTTCGTGACTAAAAATTTCACTCTTCAGGATCTCATTTTAGAGATAATATACTATAATAAAAACGTTCAAATACAATTTTTTAACTAAACGGAAATAACCCGCGTTAAATAATTGTTTTCGAAGATGCACCAACATAAAATATAATCATTATTTAGATTAAATACAATAGAATACATTCAAAATAAATTAGTTTAATCTTATCAAATATACTTTCCCATTTAGTGTTATAAGCCTTCAGACTTGCCGCTGAGCCCCTGGGGGGGGGGGCAAATTCCATTAGAGAAAAACCAATCAAATTTTGTTGAAGCATTTAAGGTGAGATTAACAAAAAGAATGGAAATATTCTATTCTTAATATTTCCAAAATTGGGTATTTCTAAGTACTTCCAAAGATCCGTAAATAAGAAAGATTAATGAAAATTTGTTGGAAACAAGAAGTGAACATAATCATATTGGAAACCTACTAGTATTTCGGGAAGACTGATTGTGGGAGGGAATAAAAAAAACAACAACTAAACATTTAAGTTATCTTTTGGATATGTTAATATTTTTTATCTCATATTTCGAGTATTACTAGGGATGATTTTGAATTTGTACAAAAATTGCCAAAAAGATCAAAAGAAATCAGAGTTTTGTTTCTTTAGATGTAGTAGCTCTATATCTAAGTGCTGAACATGATTATGGACTTCAAGCCGTGTGATTTTTTTTTTGGAATCAGTACGAGGAATTAAGTAATCTCAGGCTTAATCATTCTTTAAAAGGGTCTAGTCTAAAGAAATTGTTTGTTTGTTGTTGTTTTAGATACGAGGAAAAATTTTCGTTTAATTTTCAATGAAGGTAGGAGAGTTTATTGTTTACTATAGCTACAACAGTTTTTAGCTCAATGTTAATAGACCAGTGGCACAGCGATAAGTCGGCGGACTTACAACGCTAGAATACGGGTTTCGATACCCCTGGTGGGCAGCGCACAGATAGCCCATTGTGTAGCTTTGTGATTAATTATAAACAAACAAACAATGTTAATATCTGAAAAAATGTTGTATTACAGGTTTTGAAATTGCTATGAATAATTTATGTAGATATATCAGTAAATCTAAAACAAACATCATAGCCTTTGTAGTGACTCATTATCCAAATATATGTCTTGATGTTTAGTTTCTTAATAAACAATTAAAACAAGTCGTAGATGAAAAAATTGAAAGACGTTTTCGAAGATATTAAAATTATTTTATGAAGGTTTGCTTTTTTTAATTACGCGCAAAGCTACACGAGGGCTATCTGCGCTAGCCGTCCCTAATTTAGCAGTGTAAGACTAGAGGGAAGGTAGCTAGTCATTACCACCCACCGCCAACTCTTGGTCTACTCTTTTAACAACGAATTGGGATTGACCGTCACATTATAACGCCCCCACGGCTGAAAGGGCGAGCATGTTTGGTGGGACGGGGATTCGAACCCGCGACCCTCAGATTGCGAGTCGAGCGCCTTATCACGGGCCATTTTATGAAGGAGACAATTTAAAAACTTATATAGATATTTGATGAGTTTAAACAAAAAACAACAAATTTTTCCAAGGAAGGTATTTTCAGTTGTAAAATTTCAGAAAAAATTGTGGTTTATATAATTTATGTTATATTAACAGATGTTATGCTTTTCATCAATAATTTAATTGCATTAAGATTAGAACGTTTTGTTTGTTTGTAATTAAGCACAAAGCTACACAATAGGCTATCTGTGCTCTGCCCACCACGTGTATCGAAACCCGGATTCTAGCGTTTTAAGTCCGCAGACATGCCGCTGCGCCACTGAGGGGCGATTAGAACGTACTGGTGTAAGTTTTTACACAGATGTATTAAATAAACTCAACGTCGTATAGTACACAATAAATATTAAAAAATTAGACAGTTTCCAGTCTCAAAATACAATAAAATTCGTCTTACTTCATAATTTTACTGTATAAAAATGAAATAAAATAGTTTAAGCCTGGGAACAATCTCTACTACCCCCTACATGTTTCAACTCTTACTGTGTCACAATCAGGAATGCAATATTATGCATGAGTTAAAACAAAAAACACACGATCAAATTTACATACAATTTAACTTAAAGAATTTCATGCCATCTATTAACATTCTTCTTTGCACCTTCATTTTTATTTAATACTCTAAATTCATTTTGATTAAATTTCATTATCTCAGTATATTCATGGATAATATTATCTTTGATAGGTTGTTCACTAAAGTACCCGTGGGGGGAAAAACATTTCACGTTTTGAGAATAAATTAAAAGAAAATATGAATTCAGATTTAGAAACAACTAGAAGATGTACCAGTGCAATGCACGGTGAAAGGTTTATGAAAGTTTTCTTTTTCTGAAATATGTCAGTGGCAATATAAAAATTAAAAGTACATAAGAATACAATTGACTATTTAAATAACATTTTATTTTCTATTTTAGTTTTCTTTTATAAAAAAGTAACATGTGACTTGAAAATATCTCACTTAATATAAGTGTCTATCTTGAAATATGTATAAACAATGTGTGAAAAAAGTCTTTCAACTAATTGATGGAATTTGAAAACGATTGCAATTATAAAACTAGTGTTTTATCAGTTATGGATAAAAATAGTGTTTCTGTTTTTTGTCTTAAATATGCCAGTAATGATTGAATGTACATAGACTGTATGTATACCCTATGTAATGAAAGAGGAAACTGGAGAAATCCAGTCAGTACCCATAGTGGCCACCCCCCTACTGACTGTTCTATATTTATCCATCACTGGAGATATGAAATCTATGTATTTTAAAAGAAAAGTAGCTTCTTCTTGACACATTTCGAATTATTCCTAATTGATTAAACCATATTTGACAGGCCCATGTGCAAAAGCTTAGGAGGATTTAGAGAACAAACAAATAAGCTTATATTAAGTTATAGTAGGTTGGTATAATTAACGTTGTTTGTTGAAGCATGTGTTAAAAAATTCATGTTTCCATATTAAGAGTAAAGTTTATAAACAGAATGAAGGTTTAGCTATGGGTTCTCCTTTATTTCCGTTATTATGTGATTTATTCATGGACAGTTTTGAAACTGAAGCGTTAAGAAAGCCGAAAAAGAAACCGGAATTTTGGTTAAGGTATGTTGATGAAACATTTTTGATATGGCGGTATGGTTAAGATAATTTAATTGATTTTGCTAATTGCTTTAATAACGTTGATAATTATATTAGATTTACATATGTAATCGAGAAAAATAACTGTATAACATTTTTTTTGGATGCTTTAGTAAGTGAAAATAAAGGAAATTGAAAACTGCTATTTACCGAAAACAATTCTCGATAATCATACCCCCATACCAAAAATCATTTCACACTAATCCTCAAAAAATCACTGTTTTGTATCCTAATGTGGATATAATTTTAAAATGGTGTTGTAAATAGGAAGATAGTAACAACGAGTTATTATTAGTTAAGTATGTAGCAGTCAGGAGATTGAGGTTTTAATCCAAAAACCTGATATTGTTCACAGAGCAGTCAATAAATTAAAAAAAGAGGGATAAAAATGTTACGTTACAACAAGTTGCTGTAAAATCTAAAAGAGAAAGACTTGTATTACTATCTATACGTGGTTTATCTTATCAAAAAACTGGTATATACAAAATAACATAAATAATTTGGAAATATTTATATAGAACAAACTAGAAGAAATTTATAATACTGAATTAATAGACACAAAAGAAATGCCAGAAATAATAATACAAGGATCTCAACTTTAGCTGAACATACTAATGAAACTAAACACAACCTGCAAACATCAATGTTAATAATATCCGGGAAACTACTGAGATAATCAAATTTAATATGAAATATTTTAAAGTACACTGTGTTAAGTAAGAATAAAGGACCAGAGGGAAATGTTGTTAATAGATGGCGTGAAATTCTTTAAGTTAAATTGTACGTAAATTTGATCATGCAATTTTTGTTTGTTTGTTGTGGATTTCGCGCAAAGCTCCACGAGGGCTATCTGCGCTAGCCGTCCCTAATTTAGCAGCGTAAGACTAGAGAGAAGGCAGCAACTCATCACCACCCACCGCCAACTCTTGGGCTACTCTTTTACCAACGAATAGTTGGATTGACCGTCACATTATAACGACCCCACGGTTGAAAGGGCGAGCATGTTTGGTGGGATGGGGATTTTGAACCCGCGACCCTCAGATTGCGAGTCGAGCGCCCTAACCACCTGACCATGCCGGGGCCTGCGATTTTAGAAAGTGTGTCTATGTTCTAGCTCATACAAAATACTTCACTTTTGATGACTATGCAATAAGACGTCGAAACATGAAGAGTGTATGAGACTGTTTCCAGTCTTACAGTATCTTTATACAGCATTTTTATACAGTAAAATTATTAAGTAAAAAAAA